AGAGAGAGAGAGAGAGAGAGGCGCATGGAAGCGCCACCGGTCGAATAAAGAATTTTTCAGCTTTGGAAATTACAATCGCGCACGTTTGTCTGGTATATATATCGCGCCGATGTGCGATCCGTCCGAGAACAATTCGTTCGCGTTTGATTTGCTATTGTACGCATCGTACGCTGTCGCGCAGCAACAGTACGAAACGAACTCACTTTGTTAACATTCTATCTAGGTATAACACTCACGGGTGTGTGCTCGGCGCCTTATACATATTTCTGTGCACGTTTCGATGCAGAGTTTTGACGCGCGTATGCGTATTGTTAACGGAGATCGGATTCGCCGATAAACCGATCCAAGGTTTATCCTCGATTCTTGTATCCACACACGCATAATTTATCGATATAGGATAGACAGGTAAGAATTGCTAGTTGTGAATATTATTCCGCGTGTAGCAATGATGATTTAAAATAACAATTCTCGCTGCACAAAACGGCAAAAATCGCATGTAGAATAAAATAACATATCCATTTTACAAACGGTCAATCTACCATGTTTGTTTTACCTCGTCAAGTTACATTTTTACTTAATATTCACGAAGAATTTAAAACACAATTTTCTGTATATTTGCGCGCGTTTTGCGAGCAGAATTCTAGTTGGCAATTAAACCATCTACGTTTCCGCGTGATCCGTCGCTAATTTCGCGTATATGTACGCGTCATATTTTTGGCGAAGCCAAAAAGTAAACACGGCGCGACCGTGGAGTCAAGTAGCCCGCGTTGAATCCAAATCAAACACAGAGAATGGTAATGAAGGATCCACCTGCGATATACGCTAAGTTTCGCAATCAGCCACGGATTAGAGTTTCGCCGATTACGTGCGGAACGCTTCAGCGCCGCTTCGCACTTAAACATCGATGGCTAACGCCGAACGGCGATATCTCGTCGATTTGTCGATTGTCGGTACAAATCAGCGTCAGCGGTCTGCCTTTCGAACGCGCATAAGCATTTCAACGCAATAAAACGGAATGTCCAATGCTTTTTGCGAACTGATACGGATTGATGTGCGCTCTCGAAAAGTCCAAAGTGTTTGAGCGTAAAAGTTTCACGATCGCCGAGTCTTGTCGCCGATAAAACTACGATGGAAAAATTCGCTAAAATGAAACTCGCTCTAATTTCGATTCGGCAATCCACCGAATGGAATATTTATCCGCTTCTTTATGGTCCCGAATGAAATTCATTACCGTTTAATTTCTGCACGATACGATTGCGGCCAAAAAAGGAGAACCACGTCTCTAAATCAAAGGGAATTTCATTGCAACGTACCGAAGGGAGAGCGCGGGGATTATTATTTATGGTCGCACGTCCAACGCGCGCGTTTTTTTTGGGGCTGTATTTTTATCATGGCCTCATAAGCGCGTAGATATTTATATCGTAAATACGTATCCGAGTGTGATCATAAATTTCGCGTGATACAATTACGGCGTGACTGCACTCCCGATGTACGCGTCATAAAAATGGAGGCCCCTATTCTTGAGTTATAGCAAGCACGCTACTGGTTCTTAATTAAAATATCGCGCACGAGATATGCATGCAGCCACGGTTACCGATTTTGCACAACGAATTACGAGAGAATCTCTTCATTGTTATCATGCGAATTTTTGCCAAGTCGCTCTAGCCAGCGCGACAATTTATTGCAATACCAGCCACAATCATTTTGCACGTGAATTAAATATTAGAGCGTATTCTCTATTGATTTTATATCAACAATTAAGTAATTTTCGAAGAATAACGATGTATAGAATATTTAAAAAAGGGTGAGATTTTAAAGGATACATAATAAATCAAAGCATCTTTATATTTTGAAAAATCTTATGGAACAAATTATACCATCAAAATTAAAATTACACACTGTTAGAATCGGAATATATAATCAGTAGATTTTAGGCAGATGCGAAGGATGACAGATTTGATTGGAGTCTCGTCGAATTGTCTTCGATCCCGCCCTTTTTTTTATTCCCGCGCGAAACCTCACACAGAGATGTTGAAACCCGACTTGCGGCGTGGGCGTTGACGCGATTTGCAAAGAAAGCACCTGCGCGTACACATTCAGCGGGATGAGGCGTCGGGATGTGAGACGGCAAACAAAAAGGTTGCCGACCCCGTTGGGAGCGGTCGAGAACACTCCGGGAAGGCGCAGTGCGCGCCCGGAAATGCGCCTTTCGCGAAAGCACGAGGGAAAATTTTCGCTCCCTCGCTCCTTCGGGCGCGAGCGCGACCCGTTTCAACCTCGTTTAAATTCTCGCCGGCCGAGTAATGCGGAAGAAAATTAAGGAAATGAAAACGGATGATGCGAAAACGTAAACACACCATCTCGCTGCGGCCGGACGCGGAAAACTTGCCTCGACGGGAGATATCTCTCCGTTTTTTCGGAGTTTCTGAAACGCGCCCGGCGCGTTTCCCTCCCGCGCGAGTTTTCTCGTCACGACGATAAAGCGCCGAAAGAATTGCGCGATAAAAAGTATGAAATTGCTGCTTTACGAGACAGGATCGCGCACGATCGTGCGATGCCCGTGTTATTTTATTAGAAAATACACGCGCCGGAGATAGTTGGCAAAGTGCGCGCGGTTCTTGGAAGGGCGATTCTGTTGTCGCAGAAATCCCATTCTGTTTGGATAATTGACGCGCGGAGCACACGCGGCGCGAAATATTGCGGTGTTGCGTTTACCTCAGAGCATCGCAATTATCCCGATTAATCATACATGGCTTGTATAACGAACTGCGAGTTCATTAAACAGCCTATCAGCGGCTCTCCGATTAACGATGCAAATTGGTACGTCGACTTGTCCACGCAGATGCGACCGTTCCATACAAATCGACGCGATATCGCAATGCGCGAACCTTCCCGATACGACTTCGTCATGCAACTGCGAAAGCAGTGACCGTATGACCGTTACACGAGTATCGCCGCGCCACTGGAAAATATACCTCTGACGAAAATAGGGTTGGTATCGCGAAGTTGCACGCAGCGCATCGCCACGATCACCTGTAAAGGAACTCGAACAATAAGCCTCTTTCAATTCCGACACGCGATACGATGCATTGCACTCGGCGAAACACGGGTGCACTTTAATCTAGTCTAGAGTCCTAATGCACAATATGAAATCACAACGCTCGGAAGATTTGATTAAATTGGCGCAAACAAAACGTGTCCCACTTGTATAACTATTCGAAACTATTCGAAAAAAACATGCCAATTAAAGTTGGATTTTATAATCATATTTGTACGTATTGAGCGATTGTGACTCGATTCAAATCGATTGTCTATTAATTTACGAACAGAAAACGATTCTTGGCGCCTAACAAATTTTGTTTTCGATTCCATCTCGTGTATGCATCGCTAAAATAAATCACGTTACTTTCTACTTTGAATAATCATACCATTGTGTAACTCAATGCGACTTTGATTATCGTAAAATCCAAAATATTCTCTTGAATCATTTTGACGATTAAAAAGCGTCGCTGTTTTATTACCGTCAATTTATCATATTTATCGATAACGTGCGAAATGATTTAATAACGAGACGGCTGATACTAGGCACGTGTAAGGCAGATAAGTGTAATCATTTGCAGCTTCATAATCAAATAAATGTAGCTTTAGACACGTGCAAGGTCGCCCGGCAACCGTACAACACTCTAAATACTTTTTTTTACAATTTGCCGAATAAAGCCGCTTTATTGCTCGCTAAAACACTCCAATAACGAGGCAGCCCTTCGGCAAGCCCTATGACCCCCCCCCCCCCCTCCCCCTCGTTTCCACTAATTACTCTCTCGCGCCGCTTCCGAACGGGAATGCGGACGGTTAATCGAGCGCGGTGGAAAACACGGGCTGGACCGGAGATACGGAAAACCGCTGACGCACGTGAGCTTTCCACGTGGTCGCGTTAAATCCGCACGCCGGTCGACTGGACAGAGAGAGAGTGAGCCGAGCTCATTTGCGTTCCGTGTAAATCGGGAGAGAGCGCTGCATTCCGCCTCGCTTAACTGCTTTTCTCGTTGAAAACGTCGCGGAAAATGGAAAAAAACCAGCTCGGTGACGCGTCATGTTACTGACCGGCTTGCGATTAATGCCGTCGTTATGGTACAAGGTCGGCTCCACACGACCGCTTAGTCATGGTCAATCGCGGCCAAGTATAGCCTCAGTTCCTTCTTTTTCCCCTATACGCGTCTTAGACACGTGCTGTTGATTAATTATCTTCCCGATACGTCGTGCACGATAATTTTATCGGCCGGATTTTATCTCACGGATTGAGCGTCACGTAATCTCGAGAACAGCAACAAAGGGGAAATTCTTTTGCGCATACCGCGATCATGTGCTTCTGTGCCGATTCATCAATTAGCGACGCCATTTGCGGTACTCCATCGCGGAACAAAGGATCGTTCTTTGTAGCTAAATTGCTTTAATTTTGAAATCTAATTTCCGTATCTAAAGTTTTGATTAATTATCAGACGTAGTGGGAAGTGGAGACCATTAATTCGCTTGTAAATTTAAATTTATGACGATCTTCATCTCTAATGTTCATTTCGGCGAAGTAACAGCGATGGCGGCGAGATAACGCCACTTCTGTTTATAATTATAAGCGCCGCGCGGAATTTTTTGCATAACTTAGGTTGCAATCGACAGAAACAATAAAAGTCGATTAATCGCCAGCCGCGAGCATTAGCGCGCAGCGTCGTTTCTCGGTAGTAAACGAGATAAGACGCCTCGCGTCGGAATCAAGTAGCGGAATTTACAGGCGGAATTCCGCGGTCGCTCTGATTAACTAGTGAATCAACCGGAAGGAAACCCGGGTGCAAATCCTTAATCCGCCCTTCAAGGGCAGCCGTGCCTCAAGAGCCGCGGGAGAGATCCACCGGGAAATCTCGAGTGCATTATTCGCTCTTTGTTTTCCGCCGCATTAATCTGGAATCGGATTTACGCGCGAGCGTTCTCCGCGCGTTTCTATACACATCGGCATCGAAACGCGATCACTTTGATCAGCCGATAATTGTATCAAACGAAAGCTTCAAATTGATTCCAGCCGAAGAGCGTGAAAATAATAGCGGCGCTTCTAGGAAAAGAAAAAAACGGCACTTGTCTTCTGAAAATAGCGAAACTCCAATCGCTCCGCGAAACTGTTTAATATTCCGAGCGATGAAGTCCATCGCGCGAAAGCGTATTTGACCGCTTGGCGCTTTTTCACGCGCATTAATGTACGCGAGAAGAACGGGTTTATTCGGTCGATCCGGTTCTTCATAACGCGAAAATAGCTCGGCGCTTATCACTCGTGCGAAATGAAACACCGTTTTAATTGCACCGCGCCAATTGCTCGTCTCTAACTTGGGATTTATGAGACGTGCAATTATGGAACATTATCTTCAATCTGATACGTAACACAATCCGAGATCTCTGTCGCGAACGGACGGTAAGTTTCCGTTCTCCCCACGAGCGATAAAATGCGTTTTCAAACGGTGCACACATCGGGGACACTGCGAGGAAGTTACGGAATCGCCTGTTGCGCCGCCGCGATCGCGCTGATCTGCATAACATGGCCGATTTTACATGCTAATTTTCAATGTTGGTCTTGCAAGAACACTTACATATATATGCGAATGGTAACATCGCACGGCGCCGATCGCGCGTGTAACGATACATGCATAACGCCGTATTCTCGTAGGATTATCGGCGAGGAAGCGGTGTCTAATGCGCCTTGGATTCCTTTCGGAAACGGCAGCGAACCTTTTCAACGTGTTCAAAATGCGAGAAATAAATTGGATTGCGGAGTTGGCGCAGTCCGGCGCGCGAACTGATCTCCTAAGTGCAACAGGAAACGTTGATTAATGGAAGGAACTCCGCGAGCGCGTAATCCCCCTTGAATTTACATGAATGACAACCAGTTCCGCGCTCGAGAATATGCACCAGGCGTTTGGTATAAATCTTTAGGGCAATTCCGAATCGAGCGGAAATTTCCATTTGTTCGACAACCCGCGCCGGACTGGCTCGCAGGCGGATTCGCAAAACGCTCGCTGACCATGACGAAGGTTGTCGACTCGCACATTACGTGGCTTACACACGTAGGATTACACACATGCGCCGATATGCGTACCGACGGTCATCATGAATATCGAGTTACGTAAAGCCAACGACGATTTAACGACGGTAATAAATAAAATTTTCTATCCGGAGGCCCCGAGAGCGTGGAGAAACAAATTATTTTATAAAATGCAGTATATCACTTACCATTATGATGAAACTCTGCCTGGCTCGGCACACGGGTCGAAAATTAGTCAGACTTTGTAAATTAAAGCGCCATCCGTTCTCGCACAGCCCGACCACGTGTTTGTCCAGTTGTGATATGTAAATTTGTTAGTTCTCTCTGCATTAATACCGCGGGAGTTACGGGCGAAATGAATACTGCAGATAATACTCGATTACTTTGGCTTACGCTTCCTCCTCCGTAAAATCTACGATAATATCTAAAATCTGCAAAATAAGAAGATGAGGGTTACATCGTTTTGCTTTAATTTGTCGTCAATAACGTTTGAGTGGTGAACGGCTACTCGAAACGATCGATTAGTCTCAATGATTTTTCGACAGCGATTCCATTTAAGAAACGCGCGCGAAAGGCTGACAAATTATTGTTATATCGATTAGATGTTAAACTCGAGCGCGAGTTGTGTACTGTTCGATTATCGAAACGAGTTACTGCAAATGCTCCGCTGTATATCCTGCGCGATCTCTCTTCAACTATGATGAATTGCCTTATAATTTCTCGTTTCTTGCAATATAGATTGACCTGCTTTTTACCGATACAATTATTTGATCTCTATTATTGTAGGTCTTCGTTCGAATTATTCGTGCGGTATTATTTCCATTCCTAAATCCCTGTTACAATTTCGAAAAACTTGATATTCGATATGTTCTTCTTATTCACGAGGTATTATATCGATGGAAATTGTGGTCTTCAAACCACCCCTACTATTAGGTCTTTATTGGAATTTCAAAACAGTTATATTGAATTTTATTGATTGATATGATAAATTGCCTTATAATTTCTCGTTTCTTGCGATATAGATCGACCTAGTTTCGACTCGAATTCTTATGCGCTGCGTTCTGATTTCCATCTCTAACTATCTTTGCAACAATTTAAAAAAAAAATCGAGCATAAAATGAAAAGTAAACTCTTTTTATTCGTGGAATTTTCAGACGAAGTGAATTTAGGATATCGAAACCATCTCTTTGTTAGAATTTCAAAACGCGGTGATATTGAATGCTAAATTCCATTCTTATTTATAAAGCGCTTTTAAAGCACTAAATCCACATGACTATATTTACTCAGCTATTGTTGCCTAAATACGGCTTTCACTACGAATTGCAATTACGTTTCTACACGGCGTAATAGTTCGGTGGATGCGGGCTACACGCGAAAGATATTCTCCTCTCCGTTCTACATATGTCCGACATCGGGAAACTTTCCACGGGGTCTTCGTCAAACTCGCAACTCTCGCGCAATGTTGCACAATGTTACGCAAACGCGAATATGCACGTTCCATCGAAATAGGCCAATTTCGTTTGATTGCATCGTCCGATAGTTTGATGAGAAAGAGAGTTTCGCGTGAATAATCATCGCATTATTGCACATTTTACTCACCATAATAGCAAGAGAAAGAAATCCCTCTAAATCTGGGTGAAATGTAAAACAGGAAATCGAATCACAAATGCAATCACATCTAGATCTGCGCACGCGCGCGGATCTAGCACCACGTTTCCCGGCACGCAGGAATCCACCGAAATATTTCACGATCCGTTGTCGAACCTGTAATTCTCTTTACAACATGTGACAGCGCGTCTTGCGCCAGTAACGCAAACCGTTTGTTTCCTTGAAATTCCCGATGAATTCTGTTCAGGAACATACAGACCCGCTTTTGTATGTAGCTCGCGCGTGGAACGGCGCCTTTCTACATTCGTATCGCACTAAATTATCTCTCTAAGATATATCTATAAATGTTTCCGTATATTGATCATTTTGTTATTGGTATTCCCGATAAACCTCCTCTGCTTCACCATATGGCCACCCGTCAATCGAATCTGAAAAGAATGACAGTTGTCAGATGCCTATGCCGCGATATGTGCTGAAAAGATTATATTAATATGACACAATATCGATTTTGTATATATATATATATATATATATAAATTAAAATACTTGGCGCGAACAAGACTCCGTCAGGACTTCGCAAAGTTTCCTTATTGTCTTCAAAATTAAAATACTCAAAAATTTAATTTCTTCGGCATCTTCAGGTACTCGGAGACGAATTGTACTGATGATGCATTTATGCAAATGGCCATCCATGCGGATTATAGAGGTTTTGAAAAAGGGATAATTTTTATGTCCACATTATATTTCGCCGAGTATTCTATTGTACGCGTGTACAATTTCGAGAAAGGTATTAATTTACTTTATAGCTCCGACACACGATAATATCGCCTAATTCGCAATATAAATCTTTCTTAATTGCCACACGGATTTTACATGCACATTCTTCACTGAGAAAAATAGTTTTCGTCTTTTATTTTCATTAATTTTATGTTACTTTCTTTCTCGAATTGTCGTTCACTGATGATGGCCAAATAAAATGAGCCGAAACGTATGAATTAACTAATTGTTAATTGAACAACCAACACCCAGTTCTGAGCTGACGAAGCTATATTTTTTTAATATGATAATCGTCTTTTATTTCTTATACCCTTCGTATACCGCGAAGGTTAATTTGGCGAAGCTCAAAAAGCTACTTGCCCCAATTTTTGCCAATTGACGTGACGGTCTCCGTGTTCGCCAGCTGCTTCGCTCGCTTTAATTAATTTGTACACTTTCTTATATACTGTCGGTTCTCGCGAACCGACGAGGAGGGACACTCCGGTTAAATGAAAGAATGAATAAATTGTCGAGAGAAAGGACGAATCACGCGCGTCGGCATCCTCTTCCGATTCTCCTGCTTATCCTTAATTTCTAGTTTCCGCCGAAAGTAACGTATGATCTGTTTAAGAGGCCGCGGCAGGTTTCTTCGTCTTCTGATTAATTTATGTAGTTTCTTATGGCGCTTAGAGTCTTGTAGTGCGATCAATAAGGAACGAGCAAGCTGTATGCAAACGTAGCAGATACACACGACACCGGCTGTTATATAGCGGTCGATTCACCGTAACGGCAACACGCTCTCGCTCTTATTGGACTTAATTTGTCCAGTGGAGTCGCCTTAATCCGATCACGCCGCGCACGATAATGAAGCGAAAAGACGCCGCGCGTGCCGCGTTCACTTTTGTGTATTCTTTTGCGTGTACATGAAGGCGCACGTTTTCATCGGGGGGGGAAAAAAAACGCGATAAATCACGTTTCATTACGGCATTGACTACAATGCGCGTAATTGTAGCGCAAGCTAAACGAGGAGAAACAAAGCCGCGGAAAAGCGCGGTGCTAATCCGCTTCGCGCAAACAAGGCGATACTGAATTTGTAACTCGAGCGGATCTACATTGCGTCGTAAACGACGCTTTGAAACAGCGATTAGAGCCGGAATGATGATGCGCCGGCGATTAGAATAATGGCAATCTCGCGGAAAATGGCCGCAAATAATTAGATAATGAGCGAATGTCGGTTAACGGAATTATGAATATTCCGAGTAAAGCGATATACTCACACTCATCGGGTACGAGCTATGCTACCACGCTAGCAGATCAAATATTGTCTTTAACGGCCCCGTCAGCCGATGATAATGATACCCATCCACAGCTGTAAAAAGTGACCTGAAAGGAAAAAATATGTTACAATCAGTAAAACAAATATGACGTGTATAAATATGCATTATAAATAATATAATAAATAATGCATATTATAATAATGCATATGCCTATAAGAATATCGTTCTGTTATGCTGATACGCAACACACAAAATTAAAATTATTGTAATTTTCTGGAGCAGTTAACTTTCAATCAATATTACTTTTTATTTTTTGACATATGTCTATATAATTCACGTAGACTAACAAATTAATTTCTTTAAGAAAAATT